CGAAAATAAGCAAATATGCCAGTGCTGGTGATTTATATTACTATGAACGAACAGTTGGCAGCAAGAAAGGGACCAGAAAAGTCACTAAAATTGCCGCTAGCTGCCAGAAATTTTAGGTTTGGAACTATAGCGGCAAGTGCAATAAAAGTTGCCGGCAACTCGAAAACTGATAAAATGCGCAAGCGTARAACGAAATATTGCGTGCAAGAAAGTGCGTTGTGTGCGTTAATGTTATGCGCTTCTCATATCATCAGATATAGTTTTAATTAAACTAAAGTCAGTAYGAGAAAAGCTAAAAAAAAAAATGATTTTGTTTATTGTCAGCGCCCCGTCCTCCTCAATCAACCAGCATGACCAATATATCAGCCCTGTTGGAAAACTCGAACTTGGACAAATTTTGTGGCTCCACCTTTTGGGTAAGAAACATTAGCGAATACTGGTTACAAACACTACAAATCGCACATTGATTAGAACACGACGTTAACATGGAACACCAACGACCCTCAATTCACCCCCTGCTTCGAGAAAACGGTCCTCTCATGGATTCCCTGTCTATTCATATGGACGTTTTCGCCAATGAATCTCTACTATCAAAAAACCAGCCCCAACAAATCGATCCCCTGGAACTGGAAGAATTTCGCCAAGCTGCTTGTAAATGCTCTGGTTTGTGCGGTGTGCCTCAGCGATTTTATATCCAGCGCTGGTGGTGATGTACTGGTGAAAGTCGACATCTTTATGCCTTTATTAAAATTGATCAGTTGCGTAAGTTGCGTGAGGGGCATCTCATTGGAAACACGTAGTACATGTTGCAACTTTGCAGGCTTTGGCCTTAGTGCTGGCCTACAGAAACAAAGTGTACGGGGTCCAGTCTTCAGGCGTCCTCTTCATATTTTGGTTCTTATGTTGCATTTGTGGGATACCCCAGTTCCGTACAGAGATCAGACAGGTGCAAAGCGAAGCCGCGCTGGAACACCACTATGAATACGTCAGCTACATGATCTACTATCCGCTAGTCGTAGCTATGTTGCTGCTCAATTGTTTTGGCGAAGGTGAACCGAATATCTACCCCTATGGGAACGTGTCGGTAGGTAAATCGCATTCAGATCATGCAAACGAATCAACCGTTACTCATTTTCAGAAACCAAGCCCTGAACCAAAATCCGGTTTTCTCAATCGAATCACATTGTGCTTTTTCGACCCGTTTATGTACAAAGGCTGGCGCAATCCGCTGGAAATGAACGACTTGTGGGATCTGGAACCTCAACACACATGCAGCCATCTGGTGCCCCCTTTTGAGGAGAAATTTGCCAAACATTTGGAGAAAAACCGAAGGCAAGACCAAGATCATATTGTACCGTGGATGGCCGAGTATTTAAACTCTTTCCTCAGCTTACAACTTTTATTCCACTCGGTACAACTTTAACTACGGAACAGGAACAA